CTCCATCGGGGGGAGACCAGCGATCACCGCCGCCGCGTTGTACGCCACGGTCCGGTACGCCCTACAGATTCTCGCGGCTATCGGGCGAAACGCACGCGCCATCTGAGCGCGCGCGCGCCGCGATGCCGCGAGTTTTGGGGCCCAAACTGGGGCCCCGTAGAGTGCCACGGACTTAACTGTATTGGCGTACAGCCGACGCACCCCGCCGTCCGGGCCGCCAAGGTTGGGGAGGAGCCGGCCAAGCTTGGCCGCTCTCACTCCCGCCCTGCTTGCGGCTCTGGCAAGGTGGCTCGCAAAGCTCCATCGGTCGTCGAGGATCAACCCGAGATAGTTCATCTCGTGGCCGATCCTGACGAGGGCCGTACCCACAGCCAGGGTGAGTCGCACTTATCACGACTTCGGCTTCGCTTTCTGGACTCACGCGCACGGCTTCTTCTGATTTTTGTGGCTTGTGACTTGGCTGACTTTTTTTGTACTCATTAAACTCTTTCTTTGTTTTTTTTGTGAAAACTCTGGTGTGCTTCCTTCTCCTCTTAACGAACGCGCTCGCGAACACTACTATTGCGGAAGTTTTCAAAAATGTCAGCCAATAACAAGACATCGGTTTTCAAATATAAATCGCTGTAATCTCCCAGATGGAGAATGGAGAATCGTTGCCATACATTCAAAGCATGTGCGTAATCGCTCTCGGATACGGTGTCACCGGTCAAAGAACTGAAAAATGATTCGCGCAGTGGTATACATAGGTGGTATACATATCCTGCAACTTGTCTGCGCAATCTATATACTCATATGGAAATACACCTTTGCGCGTCAATAAATTGAAATCGTCGCTGGATAATGTCGAAAATTCGGATCGTGTAATTTTTAATTTATCTGTATTGAGAAACGATGCCAATCTATTGAGACTAGTACTCAGAAATTTATACGAGTCAATGAATCGCAGCTGTATACAATTTTGCCGCTTGGAGTTTATCGCAGCATTTTTAACATTTTTTGTAAAGGAAATGTACGTTTCCTTCGTTATCGGCCATACATTAACCGTGCCCTCGAACGCGGTGGCGATTTCATTAATGATGAAATGTGCATCGTAACCGGACAAATTATGGAAAACTATAGGAATAAAATGTGAGTCTTTATAATTTAGGTTACAATTAGAATGTGCAGGACCTCTATACCGCCCGGTTAGATGACAATGATCGCGTACTCGAATGTCGTCTGGTGCAAACGGTTTCTCACAAATATGACAGTGCGTGCCGCTATTAAATTTTTCACACTGTTCTTTCGAAAGCGTTTCCATGGGGACATTAATTGACAAAATATTTTGCACGCGATGCGCTAAGTTATTAAGTTCGCTCGCGAACCATGTGATGCAATCCTTATCGCGACGGAACCGATACATTGATAACGAATCGTCGTACGAACAACGCAGGTAATAGGCGATGCTAAATACCTCATGGTGTTGGTACGCTTTTGGATCCGTATCCGTCTTCTTCAGGATGCATTCCAGGTCGGCATAGATGATAAATGGAACGCGTTTCTTTCTCTCGTAGTTGACAAAACTGAGCCACTTGTTGTTCTCGCTGGGTAATACGATCGCGCAGTTATTTATCTGTTGACAGTCCATGCTGTGGGCTTCCAACTTTCCATTTGAATGGAAATAATGCATGCATCTGGAAAAAATATTTGAAAAACATTTATATATTTTATAAAATAAAACAAATTTTCATAAATTTTTTTGATACTCACCGATCGCAAATGTATTTTTTCCCATGGTTACCACTCAATTGTGAACTGACGAGGCGGGATAAATTTTTTATCCAGACGAAGTGGCCCACTTCAGCACCCCCCTGATCTTGCAGATATAATAGGTTCACGTGCTTCTCCTTCTTCTCGTCAGCAACTCGTAGCGGTACGATTGTGTGTTCGCAATTGTTCTTTTCATCGATGCTGTACACATTGATGGAAATACTGTTCAACCGTTCAAACTTTTTAATACCACTTAATGTCATTGGCATTGGAACGTCTCGCAGGTTTAACACCTCGCTGTAATGCGGATACGACGATTTTCGATCCACATGCCTTTCAGCTGGATGCAGAGCAGCGACCACCGACCACGCGAAACACGCATTGTCCTTTGATTGTACATTGATCACTGCTTTCTTCCGTTTCACCACTTCTGGCATGTCTATATGGCATCCCGCGCGCATAGGATTGCACTTGTTCACATTAATAGTTATGTTGTGTATACGCGACAGCGCCCACCCGCTATCACGTTCCTGGAATTCTTCGAGTTCGGTTAGAATCGGATCGATTACACGCGACTTGTACCACAGTTGTAGGTCCGTTGTAATAAACAGTTCATAGTTTTTTGTATTTATGCTTTTATTTGCACGTTTATCACCCGCCACAAACTCCCCGTTGAACACGGTATTCACCTTTACACAATTATAGCGCTCGATAGGGTCTCGCACGTGCTCGACCACTACATCGCGAGCGTCCTCGAGAAATTTCCGCGGCTCGATGTACTCCACGTTAATCACCACACCGGTAAGCACGCGACTGTCAAACGCGGTATCGATCTCGCGCCACGACAGTTGCGCTCTCGAAGAAGGTCCGACACTCGCGTAATCACCACCACCACCGAAATGTACGAATCGTCGTTCCAGATGTTTTTTTACTCCCTCGAGTCGCGCGATTTGCGCCACCAGAGAGTGTCTATTGCCGATGGACAGCCTTAGACGCTTGGCACGGCTACGTTCTTCGAGTTTCGCGATGCACTCGTCGCATTGCAGAATCCACGCGAAATAGCCGCCCATGGTAGCAACCTCGTCGACTCGCGCCACCAGATCTTGATCCATGTTGTCGCACATATTTCCCAAGTCACTCTTTTCACATTCGTTGAAACTGCTTCACTCGACTGATGGACTTTGAAATGTGGAACTATAAGCTAACCTATAATATATACTTTTTACCCCCTCTTTATCTTTTTCGACCCAGACCCTTGACCATGTTTTCTCTTTTGAAATGTGGGATTATATTTTTACCCCCTCTTTGCCTTTTTTCGACCCAAACCCTTGACCATCCCGTGTGGAAATCTCTCCATCTTATCCCCACTTATTATTGGATTCCGATGAGATTTCCCCAAGAAATGAAAACCAAAAGGATTCCAATCTGTTTTTCTAACTTAGAACTTGGTTTTGCTGAATTATTAGAGAAATATAAGAATTTCCGGTCAGTTCCTCGTTAGGAAATCAGGCATTTGCACATGTCAGGATTGTCAGGTTATATCGATGCTGAAAGATTGTATTTCAACAAGGAATCCGGCTAGTAAATCCGGCCGAATTCCTATTTAAGTTTTACTGACCGGAATCCTTTTTAAAAGTGAGACGTTTTCCCAGTCGGATTCTAATAATAACTGAGGAAAACCTATCGGATCCCTGCTTAAATTTCCACACGGCATGTTTTCTCTTTTGAAATGTGGGATTATATTTTTACCCCCTCTTTGCCTTTTTTCGACCCATTGGTAAATTTTACCCCCATCCTTTTCACATAGATGTCATTTTAAAATGTATTGTTCATCTACAGCATATTGAACGTTCTTTTGAAATGTGCGATTATAAGCTTAGCTAAAAGGATTTAAAATCTATCCACGCATCAATACGAACCGTAATATTTCTCCTTCTCTCGACGTGCTCAAACGAGTCTCGACGTGTTCAAACAAGTCTCGACGTGTTCAAACAAGTCTCGACATGTCCACACCAACGTGTACATCTTCGCCTCGATCTTATATGGGTAGGAAGCAGAAGAAAAAAAATGTTAGTGGATGAAAATTTGATTTATTATACAATTATTAATTTTTTTCGTTCATCACCGCGTTTTAAGGTTTCAGCAATAAGTTCATCTACAGCATAAACTATTAATTCACAATCTATGACAGAAGTTTTATCATATACCTCGTACAGTATACCAATTGCATCATCTCTCTCGGCACTGGTCATATTACTTTGCAAACAACACACAAATTCATCGAAGCTTTCATTTACAGCTTCTATATCCTTCGACAGTTTGCGATATACATGCTCTACACAATGTTCGAGATTGAGTAAAAATAATACAGTTGACATGTTCATGTACATGCAAGTGTCATCTAACGTGAATTTTACAACTTTTTTATTGTACATTCTAACAAGTTCTAAAACTAAATTGTCAATCTGTACCGATGATGATGATGATGCGTCTGTTGACTTGAAGAGCTGCTCTATTTCGGCACGTTTCTTGTTAAATTCCATCCACGTTGAATGATTTAACGCCATCTTATTTCCACGATTGTCGCCGAGAATGAATTCCACATAGGATGCATCAGGTACCACGCAGATTCCAACATCCAAGTATTTGTACGCGGTAGATGTCAGGGCGAATCTCCTGCTCATGATACGAGGCGTGTAACGAGGTTTATCAGAACTGAAAGAATACATAAAGTAAAATAAATACAAGTAAATCAGGAAAAGTATGAACAAATATACAATAATTTCAGAGTACTTACGCATCATGCTGTTTCTTGCACGAAACAGTTTCATGTCGAGAAACGGATGGCGTATAACTGCTTCGAGGAACATACGGCATGTAACGCCGATTGCTAAAACTGTTTGAAAAATACAATTAAATGTGGAAAAATGTGTGCAATATATTATATATAACTTTACGGTACTTACGCGTTACACTGTTTCTTGGACGACATATCCAGAGGAACGTAATTCATTCTTCTAACACTGTATTGGAAAACACCGGAGCAATCGACTCATTTCGACGGCGACGACTGAAACTCTGAGGGCGTCTTTACTAGTTGAAGTCCCAGGAAAATTTTTAACTTACCCCACCCTTAATCCTACATCTTCCCCCGCTCACTCATATAGAATAAGATAGAATGCGATAGAAAATATATTGTTACATTAAAAATATAAATAAAACATTGTTCCAAGAATAAATTATTTTTTCTTTTCCCCCCACTCTTTTCGCCCTTATGTGCGCTAATACGATATAAAATACAGAGAAATCGTTGACATTTTCTAAAATATTTGTTAGTTACAACATTTACAAACTGCAATTCTATATTTCCAACAGAGATTCTCCCCCAACCAGTAAAGAATTTTAATCCCCCATTGAACTGTTTACTCCAGTAAAGAATTTTTAATCCTCCCATTATCACGAGACACGGTAGTGTCTCGCGCCAAGTGTAAGCGTAGCTAGTACCCGCGTGCGAGACCGACCGTGTAAGTTTACGCGAGTACACGAGTTGACGGGCGCTCAGATTTTCGGATCTCAACAACGGCTGATCCGACGAAATTGAGACTGCGCTTAATCGATAGCTTGGGTACGATTTGCATAATAAAAGTGTTTTAACTTTTCTCCTACGTGCTCCAGGAGTGGAGGTATTGCAATGCAAAAGTCAGATATGTTAAATTTTGGATTAAGAAACGTCTTTGTCGTCTTCGTCCCGGTCGTCGTCTTCGTCCCGGTCGTTGTCGTCGTCGTCGACCAGACCAGCATTTTCACTTGACTTTTCACTTGACCACGTTGCAATTGACCACGGTCCCGATCGACAACGTTGCAATTGACCACGGTCCGATTGACCACGTTGCAATTGACCACGGTCCCGATTGACCACGTTGCGATTGACCACGGTCCCGATTGACCACGTTGCGATTGACCACGGTCCCGATTGACCACGTTGCACTTGACCACGGTCCCGATTGGCCACGTTGCAATTGACCACGGTCCCGATTGGCAACGTTGCAATTGACCACGATTCCAATTGGCCACGTTGCAATTGACCACGGTCCCGATTGGCCACGTTGCAATTGACCA